TCATCTTTCCTCTACCTCCTCCCCTTGAAGTTTCCGTCCTTCCTCCCCCTCTTTGCCAGCCTCCCCTGCTTCCTCCTCAACCTCCTTACACATTTTTCTTCCCACCTTTCCTTCTAACAAAACCTTCAAATAAACTTCCACACTCATTGTCCAATATTCATCATCCCTACAAAACCTGTATTCTTCTTTAATACCTGGTGCACTCCGTGCAGGGGGGAAATCACAACAACATCATCTTTAGCTGCCTCTTCAAACAACAACCTCAACCCAGGGAAGCATTTGGGCAGAGATTATATCCAGAAACTTTAGCAATTAATATTTATTTCCTTTCCCTCTTCTTCTTCTTCTTCTTCTTCACTCACTCAGTCACTTTTAGCAGAGTCTTCAGAATTGGGTAGGTTCATTACTTGTTTCCAAGCAGACAATAGGTCTGGGTGGGCACTGTTCAACTACCCTTTTCTCATCCAGAGGAACCTTCGGGGGGCAGCTGGATCCACGACTCCTGCTCCTGCCCCGAGCTCTGCTCCTGCCCTGGCTCCCACTCCTGCCCCAGCCCCACTCCTGGCGGGGTGTGTGTGTCCCATTGGTTCAGAGTTATATAATTGTTCTCCATGCATCCTGATTTCATCGTAAGGAGGGGGTCTGGTTCCCAGTACAGCCATTTGCTGAACAATTTGTGCTTGTTTGCATTTAAACAGTTTGCGGGCTTCCACAAAAGCATTGTCGGGGTTTCTCGTCAGCTAAGTAGGACCTAAGTGCTTGCATCTTTGTAACATTAAAGGAGCCTTGAGGTGCCCATTGAGACCCTGCCTCTAGGTGATGGGTAAAAGCGACCCATGAAAAGTGGTGGTTATGGAAGCGGCAAAGGAAATATTTTTAATATATCAAATATATTAAGCTTAGGCAAGGTGGGTTGGAAATATTTCAGAATTCTAGAGCTCAAAATCATATACTGAAAGGACAGCTGTTGAGTTCTGTAAATGTTCCTGTCAGGGCCGCCTCAGGTCCCAGCTCACAAGAGACCAACGCCAAGTCCACTTTATTTACAAAAGTCTTTATTGAAGTACATTGTTTGTTCCACAGCCGAGGCACGCAGCCCCACGTCTGTTACGCTTAGACCGCTGAAGTCCCCTCTGAATCAGTCCCGCCTCCACACCAGTTTAAGAGGCTTCTGCTGGTCCACCTCTTCCTGTCCTTCCTTTTCCGCAGGGTCTTTCTGCCCCCCTGGGTCCTCCTCCTGCTTCCCCTGACGCTGAGTCCCCAGACGCCTGCTCCCCCCTCCTCCGTGCTTTGGAACCAGGCTCCTCCTCCGGGCTCTCCGCATTTCCGCGCGCCTCCACATTTGAACTTGGCGCGCGTTTGCTACCTCTGACCTTCCTCTTGACAGCTACACTACTCTCTGTACTACTCTCCGCCCCTTCCGGCAGGACGTCTTGCCCCGATCTCCTTCCCCTCTCTGCTTCCTGCTCTGCTTCGTCTGTCACACTGGGAACTCCACCCTCTTCACTCCGTTCCGGCGGGGAAGCCGGCCCCGATCTCCAACTCCCACTCGGGGTTTCCCTGCTGCTCCCCTGCTCCTGACGAGTCCCCCCTGTGGCTCCCCTTGGCCTGACCAGGGGCGCCCCCTTTTGGGAATCCTCCGATTCACTTGAAAGACTCATGGAAACCCTCAAGTCATTGTCATCCTCCTCCTCCTCGTTCCGGGATTCTTCCCCCTCGCTCTCAGTCTCCTCCCTCATCTGTGCCTCTCTCCCTGAACCCCTGACATCCATCCCCCCTCGAAGCCCCCCCTTCCCCCCTCCCGCCCGTTGGGCGCAGGTATTGGGAGCCGCGTCTCTGCGGGGGTAGATGCTGGATACAGTTCGTCTACTTCGATTTCCTCTGCTTCCAGCTCAGTGTATGTGTGCTCGAACTCGGGTTCGTCTCCCAAAGTGTTCTCGGTCTCCTCTCCCATTGTTACTTCATCCGGTGCTGTTGGCCAAGGCCCCTCCCTCCACCTCCTGCGCCAGTCCTCCTCTGGTTGCTCGTCCCACCAATAAGAGGGTTCCGTCTCCACCCCCGAGCACGATCCCCTGGGAGGGCTCGATTCTGGCGTTCCCTCCTCCGCGGAAGAAAACCCCCGGAAAGTGCTGGCTGAAAGTGTGGGCGTAAAAAGCCAGTCGTCAAAGTACTCGGCTGGCATGGGCCTGTGTGGGAAAAGAGCATGGAACTCGTCCTTGAGAAGAGGCTCGTCCAAAGTGTAGTCCAGCACCCAACTGTTGGCGCTGGCTGGGGTACCCTCTCTGGCGAGAAAATATTCTACTCCCTCTTCCCCCCATCTCGAGTCCAGAATCTCTGTGACCTCGTTGAGTGGTTCGGCCCTAGGTGACCTCCCCCTCTTGGGTGACTCTCTGCGTGGTTCTGGTGCCGTCCCTGACTCCTGAAATCTGTGTGGGGCCTTGTAGGGGGTGAGCACCGACCTATGAAAGACCGGGTGCATTCTGGAACCTTCGGGGAGGGCCAGTCGAAACGCTACGGGATTAATCCTGGCCTCAACTTGGTATGGCCCTAGCTGCCTGTGTCCTAGCTTCTTCTTAGCTAACGACTTGGCCGGCACCGCTTGGGCCACTAACCATACCCAGTCCCCCACCTGGATGTCTTCTCCCGCCCTCCTGTGTTTGTCCGCCTGCACCTTATAGGCTTGTTTAGCTAGTTCCAAATGTCTCCGCAGCTCCTCGTGCACCTCTTGCAGTTCTGCTGTGAAATGGTCGGCCCCCCTGCGGCGCCCCCTCCCCCGTCGTTACGAACCCCGGGAAGGTTCTGGGATGTCGTCCATTGTTAGCGAAGAACGGCGTCACCCCCGTCGACGCGTGCTTCGTGTTGTTGTAGGCAAACTCAGCCATCGGCAGGTAATCCACCCAAGCTGCGGGTCGCTGATTGGCGTAACATCTCAGGTACTGCTGCATGATAGCGTTGACTCTCTCTGCTTGGCCGTTGGTCTGTGGATGTCTCGCCAACGATAGGTTGATCTTGACGTGCAGGATACCTAGGAGCTTCTGCCAGAAACTGGAGACAAACTGGCGCCCCCTGTCGGACAGGATGGACCGTGGCAGCCCATGCACTCTGAACACGTGGTCGATGAAGAGTTTGGCAGTCTGTTCCGCTGTCGCCACCTTCGCGCAAGGAATGAAGTGCGCTATCTTGGTGAACAGGTCCACCACCACCAGTACCGCCGTCTTGCCTCGGGAGCTGGGCAGATCAGTAACAAAGTCCAGCGCTACCCGCTCCCACGGTTGCAGCGGCGTCTCCAGCGGTTCCAGTAGTCCGGCTGGCTTCTGGTGCACTGGCTTGGACCTCTGACAGGTGTCACATCTGGCGACGTAATCCGCGACCTCTCCTTGCATTTGGGGCCACCAAAAGTCCCTGGCTACCAGTTCCGCTGTCTTCTCCTTGCCGAAATGGCCCGCGCTGAGTCCCCAGACGCCTGCTCCCCCCTCCTCCGTGCTTTGGGACCAGGCTCCTCCTCCGGGCTCTCCGCATTTCCGCGCGCCTCCACATTTGAACTTGGCACGCGTTCGCTACCTCTGACCTTCCTCTTGACAGCTACACTACTCTCTGTACTACTCTCCGCCCCTTCCGGCAGGACGTCTTGCCCCGATCTCCTTCCCCTCTCTGCTTCCTGCTCTGCTTCGTCTGTCACACTGGGGACGCCACCCTCTTCACTCCGTTCCGGCGGGGAAGCCGGCCCTGATCTCCAACTCCCACTCAGGGTTTCCCTGCTGCTCCCCTGCTCCTGACAAGTCCCCCCTGTGGCTCCCCTTGGCCTGACCAGGGGTGCCCCCTTTTGGGAATCCTCCGATTCACTTGAAAGACTCATGGAAACCCTCAAGTCATTGTCATCCTCCTCCTCCTCGTTCCGGGATTCTTCCCCCTCGCTCTCAGTCTCCTCCCTCATCTGTGCCTCTCTCCCTGAACCCCTGACAGTTCCAAATTTCAAAACAACCTGATAAAAGATGCCAGATGCATAGCAACTTGAGAAAGTGTGGAAAACTGACATATTTAATTTGTACTCCATTCTGCCTCCTCTCCCCCACCCCATCTAATATAATTCTTTCACATGTCATTGAACATTATGAATGTACTTTATTCCGGCTTTTCATTGAAGGCTATCTTTCATTAGTTTAGTGATGTTCTGAAAGGTCATTAAAAAAGTTGCAGCCATTTTTAGATTCCCCATTAAACTGAACATGGAACAAAACTTTGATTTATGGCTCTGAACTCAAACTAAAGATTAAAGTGCAGCGGGCGCAGAGCAACTCAAACAGTGAAATTTAAAAATTTAGGAACAGATGCAAGTTGAATATGTGGGCCTGTGTACACCTTTAATGTTCAATTACTTGTCCTTCATAGTAGTGAATAGAAACCATTTCTATAGGAGGATGTAAGAGAGTACACAATTGGGACTGGAGATAAACCCATTCTTGCTAGCTCCGACCATTAAGATTCAGATTTGTTCCTATCTTCATAATATTAACTTGGGTTTTGTTTCTTGGTCACACAAAAATGTGATAGAGGCTGCATACACACTATACATTTAAAAGCACACCCCATTGCAAAGAACCATGGGAACTGTAATTTGCAAATATACCAGGAATTGAAGCTCTGTTCCCAGGAGTGGTGAGATGTGCTTTAAATGTATGGTATGTATAATGTATGTATAATGCTGGGAAGGAATATTGTGAACTGTTTTTTAATTATGTATTGAAATAGAGAATTCTTGTGAAGGGAGTGGCTTGCCCATTGCTACAGGGTAAAACTATAGCTGAGCTGGTGTTTTAAGTCATTTGCCTTGTCAACAAAGTACATGTTTGCCAGATCTCTGCTGTTCATGATTTTTTTTCCTCCTGAGATCCAGACAAGAAAAGAGGATATTTGGCATGCTTAGGAAGGATCTTTCCCTGTACAGTATTTCTTTGAGACAATGTTTTTAAAATATTGTTTATTAATTGTTGAAAATAACAGTAATTCCAGGTTACTATATTTGTTTAATTTCTCACACCCCTTTCCTTGACAAGTCATTCAAGATAAGAGCTCACAGAGCACCTTAAAATCACACACCTGACTGGCAGCTTTAGTTGCTGTGAGTTGTCTTGTATATAACGAAATATATTACAAAATTTTGGATAGCAGGAGAATGCATATTCTGCTACAGAGTGGCTTCATTTTATCAACATGATTATACATAAATGGAAAAAAGTATTCTAAGCATTGTTGTTTCTCACATAACAAATATAAAAGCCACAATTTATAAACAGAAAATGGGATGGAATAACTTGATTTGGTTAAACATCATAGTTTAATGGTATGTATATTGTCCTAAGAAAGATTCAGCTTTGTTTTTGCCCAGATTTAGCACCATGTAGCAGGCTAGTTACTTGCTGAGAATGTAATGTGCTTCTGCTATATTAAGCTCCAATTAATCCTTTTTGTGAATTTCAGTGCAGACAGCAGCAAAATCACACAATTTAATTTCAAGCTGTGTACCAGGGAGCCCTGTTCTTTAATGAGAAAAAGAATAATGGGCAGATTTATCGGAAAGACTGTTTGCCGGCTGCAATGTTTAGTTTCACAGAGTGAAAGGGGGCCAGCCTTCCTCTCTGAATGGAATGGGGATACCCAAGCATCTTCTGCAGCACACTTGACAGATGTTGATGTGGGAACCTTTAAACAAGGTTCTAAAGTTTACAAAAAAAAAATCTTCTACCCTCTTCCAAGATTATTTAAGACTACCAGGCAACTTTCCTTTCTGTGATCAGCAAACCGGAGCCTAAACTCACCCCTGGACCTGGGAGAAGGTCCAGGGGTGCACACTGCAGCCAACACACTAACATGTCGCAACGCACAGTTCAAAAAGCTCAGATCTAAGGACCTAAGTTGCCATAAATCTCAGGGAAATTAATTTTACTATTTTCAGTAGCTGCCTCCACGTGTTTTAATGTAATGTTTAGGTTTAGCAGCAACAGAAAAGAGAAGGCAGCATGGCTGGAATTAGAAACTTTTAAAAGGTTCTGTGAATGAACCTTGCAAGAGCCAGATACGTTTCAGCATCGTCTTCAGGAGTAATAATAATAATAATAATAATATCCATTCCACTTGCAGATGCTGATACTGAGTAATACCCCTCCCCACCTTCTCACTATATAGAAGGATCTGGCAACTTCTGTTTCAGTGTATCTGAAGAAGTGTGCATGCACACGAAAGCTCATACCAAGAACTAACTTAGTTGGTCTTTAAGGTGCTACTGGAAGGAATTTTTTTTGTTTTATCCATTCCACTGTTACAGCACATCACTTAAAACATATAATCTCAAAAACCAATCTATTGGGGGCAGGGGAGAATGCCACTGAAGACGACAACATGATGTGCTACTGTAATTTTCAATTAACCTTTTTCATTCCCAGCTTTTCCTCTTTGGATTTCTAATTTTGGATTTCTAATTTTGGCCTTAATCATTATACACTTGCTACCAGGCCATTAACGCAGAGGCTTTCACAATATCTGACCTGGGCTTGACAATGGGCTTCTTCAGACTGAGCAAAAGGCTAGTCAACTCTAATGCAATATGAATGCCAATGTAAGGGTTGCAACATATTGTAAAAGGAAGAGTGAAGAGTTGCATCCACAACAGCTTTTGACATTTGTGCAATTGCATTCCACATAGCTGTCTAAATTGCCATAGCTCTGCAAATAGGGGAAATAATCTCATTTTATCAGCATAGTTTGAGTTCGGCTTCGGCTGGGGAGGGCGGGATATAAATAAAATTTATTATTATTATTATTATTATTATTATTATTATTATTCTGGAAAAAGCAATATCTGAACCCAAAAGGAATGTTTGCAAATTGTTACTGTCCATATAAATGGACAGGGAAGGCCCTTGAACTTTGTAATGAATTGGTCCATATTATATGGAGATGATTTATGCTTTATCTGATATATCAGCTTAACTATGGTGGCTTCTGCAAAAGAAAAAAAGAAAAATGACATACTTTTTAGACATGCATCATTTTACGGCATAAAAATGAAAAAAAAAATAATTGAAATTCTAGTATGTTGGGCATTTTGTGGTTTAGGGGCCCATAGTTTTTTATCTTAATACAATTTGCAGTGTTCCCCGTGGAAAAGAAGAAATGTATAAAACCAGTTAAGTCTGTGGGAAAGACATGCATTTTAAAAAGTGTACTGAAATCTGTGTGCCATGAGAAGAGAGAAAAATCTGAAACCTTCCACCACTCTCATGCTGATTTTTTCTCTCTTTTATAAACATCTTTGAAGTGAGGCACCCCCATGCAAAAGCAAAACATTTAAACCCCACTTGCTCTCAATTAATCTAATGAAGGGTTTTTGAAAAATATACCTCCACTTAGTCAGCTATTTCTTGTTTTATCAGATATTTTCACATTTCATTTGGGGCATAGGAAGAGATGAGATTGTGGGTTATTAAATAGTGTTTTGTATCCGAGGTGAAATAGGGCAGCTTTGGTGATCTACATCCCTTCAGCAGGGGTAAGTGCTCTAAAATGACATGTGTCCAAATATTTAGTTATGGCTTTGATATGTAGCCTAGTAGACCTAGAGACGTAAGATGGTGGTTTATTAGGAAAAAAATAAGCTATGAGTATTTAATGAAATATGTTGAATGACACAGCAGCTGAGAGATACTCTGCTGCTTTGAAGCTCAAACACGCACACAATTGTTGACTGGAGGTCCTTCCAAGAGCTGGTAGTCAATAACCAGACAGGTATGTTCAATGCCTGAGGGTGCTGGAAACTCTAAAGTAGCTAAGGAACTTGTAGCAGAGCTGTACCACAAAGTACCACATGTTTTGTGCCATTTGCGACCTTGCAATAAATACGCGCCAGATGAGCACAATCAGGGTGGTGTTGATGACATACTGAATGTTTCTTAGCCTGGCAGAAAGAACAGAGAAACAAAGCTTTTACAAAAAAGAAAAAGAATGTTAAAAATCATTATCTTTTAGGAAAGAACAACAATTAGACTGTATGGATGCACATAGATATAAAAAATTAACTACACCAACAACCAAAGCAAGCAAACAGAATACTTTCAAATGGGGTAACAGGGTGGTATATTATTAGCCTAGCAATGCAAAGAATATTGCTTCCCCTATGAGAAAGGAAATCTTAGATAAAACTTCAAACAAATCCTATAAATTATATGCAACAAATAAACCAGGGAAGTAAAAGAGAGTGAATTTTTTTAGCAAATACTAAACTATCACAGGTTTCAAATGATACCATGTTTGGGAGAAGGGAGCAGGCTTTTCAAAAGAAAAGATTTGGTTCTTCAGGGCACTATGATCACAGCAGTCCAGGCTGAGTTGCAAGGAAAAAATTCTCTTTGGTTTAAGCTCTCTCAAGTTCAATCTTGTGTTGAAAACTACCTTACATATAAGAGAAATAATTGAGCAAGAAGCACATATTGGTAGCTACTTAACAAATATGATACAAAACCAGAGGAAGTGAAAGGTTATATGATAAAATTGGCTGATAATATTGGGGAAAAGGTATTGTTGAATATCTAGGAAAATATCTGGAAAAATGCTCACAGATTTCCCTTACATATGGGAATAAGGAGAAATTGCTTTAAAATTGTGAGTAGGTGTATATCATTCCAGATACAAAAAAATGAATAAAACAACCCCCAACCACATATTACAAATGTCTAAAAGTACACAGGGAGACATTTCACATGTGGTAGAACTGTGATAAGACAATTCAATACTGGCAGAAATAAAATGTCACATTAAAATGATCTGAGGGTATGCAATCCCCCTCCACCCAGTGTTTTCTCTACTAATTTATGTGGAATAGTTGGTGAAATCAGTACATAAAGAGATGGCATCTTGTATGCTGCATGCAGCCAGAATACTCTTTGCAAAGATGTGGAAGCTGACTATGAAATTCTATGAAATTCCCAATGGAGAGACTTTGAGAATTTGCTGCCATGGCCTAATTGACTCACTAAATTAGATTTAGGGAACAAAAAACAGAAGCAATAAGAAGCAAAACAGAAGCTTTGCAATAAGATGGAATAAAAGATTAAGGCTGCAAAACTTGTTTATAGTATACATAAAAAAACACCACTCTTAATTTATTTTATAAAAGTGAAATGAACTGTCAATAACCAAGATGCCTCCAACTGGATAACATAAACATAACTTCTTGCATGCATTATGGGTTATGTTTACGTTTTGCAAAATAAGTAGTTATAGACTTTGTAGACCCCATGATGAGAGAGAAAGAGAGAAAAAGAAATAGTGCAGCAAGTAGATCAGCTACATTTTTCAGGTTGCTCCCAGAAAAGAAACATTGTTGGCATCAAAATTTCAGACTGTATTTTTCTTCAACTTAATTTGATTTAATTGTTTTTTTGTGGGGGGGATCCACAAGTTAAAAAAACAACAACAAAAAAACACTTTTACCGAAGAACCATTTACAATATCTCAAATACTTCTAGCTATTTCAAATGGAATTTTACTCTGTGAGTAAAATGTCCTGTTCTGTATACTAAAAGTATACATGAATGCCTTACTTTCGTAAATGCTCCTTTGCTGCAGGAATGCCAGCCAAATCTTCATTCAGCACATGCATCTTAGCTCCTAGACAGAAATATTCTATGTATGCTGACCAATTCAACTGGCGGACATCAAATAAGAACAACTGGAATTAGGGGGGGGGGGAAACAAATGTCACGTTATTTGCGTGGCTTGAGCAAGTGGTGCAACCTGGAGAGTGGGGAAAGAAATAAGGCAATCAGATAAGGGGTTAAAAAAGGCCTGAACTTTTATAGGTTCCTGCAAGTAAGCGAGGCTGGCATGGCACAGGGCAGTGGTGGTGAACCTGTGGCACGTGCGCCAGAGATGGCACTCAGAGCCCTCTCTGTGGGCACGCGCGCAGTCGCCCCACCGTGCGCCGCCGTCAAAGTGGTGACCCCCCCCTGACAAAGGAAGGTGACTGTAGTGCAATAATAATAATAATAATAATAATAATAATAATAATAATAATAATAATAATATCATCCAAGAAATCTGGTATGGGAATTTGCATGTTTTCCCCCACAAAATCAGAGCATTTGCAGATGATTTCATAGTAACAACTGAAAACCCTCAACAAATTAGAGAAGAAATTAACAAATTCGGAAGATTGGCAGAAACTTAAAAAAACCTAACTTATTAGTTAAAAATATGAGATCTGAGGAGATAAAGGACTTACAAAAAATTACAGGTTTAGAGATTAAAAATAAAGTAAAATATTTGGGAATTTGGATATTGATAAAATGCATCAATTTGTACCAGGATAACTATATAAAAACTTGGCATGAGATTAAAAAAATATAAATGGAAATTTGGAACAAACTACACCTCTCCCTTTGGGGCAGGATTTCAGTAAAAATGAACATTTTACCAAAAATGATTTTGCTGTTCCAAACCATTCCAATATTGGGAGGAATGAAATGCTTTAAAAGCTGGAGGAAAGACATTGCTAGATTTATATGGAATGGAAGAAAACCAAGAATTAAGCATCAAATACTTATAGACCAAAGGGCTTTGCCCTACCAGAGCTAGAACTCTATCATGCTGCTGCCGGACTGGTATGGATAAAAGATTGGATCACTTTAAGAGATACAGATGTGCTAGACCTAGGGGGTTTTGACAATCGATACGGTTGGCATGCGTATCTAATTTATGAAAAGGTGAGGGTACACAAGGGATTTTTAAATCATATTATAAACAAATCATTATACAAGATCTGGATAAAATATAAAGGAATATTAGAACCAAAGATTCCCCTATGGACCTCACCGACAGAAGCCCTAGCTATTAAAAAGAAAAATATGCAAGGAGACTGGGCCACATACACAGTTAATAGTTAATGTTAATAAAAGAAATTAATGATAACATCAAATTAAAATAATTTGAAGAAATCAGAAGACACCTTCTGTCGACTGGCTACAATATTTTCAGATAAACGAAAGATTGAGTTTAGATAAAAAGGAAGGTCTTGCAAAGGAAACATCTAGATTTGAAAAAGAATTAATCCAATTAAAAAGAAAATACATTTCAATAATTTATAACCTCCTCTTAGAATGGGAGGTGAAAGAGGAACTGGTGAAAGTGTCAATGGTGAAATGGGCGCAAGAGCATATAACATCTATATGGATCAATGGGAGAAACTGTGGAGGGGGAATATTAAATTTATGGCGTGTTATAACCTTAGAGTTATAACACTTGGACTTGCCAATCGGAAGGTCGCCGGTTCGAATCCCCGTGATGGGTGAGCTCCTGTTGTTCAGTCCCAGCTCCTGCCAACCTAGCAGTTCAAAAGCACATTGGCGTGCAAGTAGATAAGTAGGTACCGCTCTGGCGGGAAGGTAAACCGTGTTTCCGTGCACTGCTCTGGTTCGTCATGCTGGCCACATGACCTGGAAAAACTGTCTCGGACAAACGCTGGCTCCCTCGGCCTATAGAGCAAGATGAGCGCGCAACCCCAGAGTCGTCTGTGACTGGACCTAATGGTCAGGGATACCTTTACCTTTATAACCTTAGAGAAAATATTATGAAAATGCAATACAGATGGCACCACACTCCAGCAAAACTCACAAAGATGTATAAAAATAGACCACCAACTTGTTGGAGGTGTAAAGATGGTATAGGGTCATATATACACATGTGGTGGGAATGCACAGCCATTAAGGAATTTTGGAATAATATCTACAATGAATTAAAAAAGTTATTTAAGTTCTCATTTAAGAAAAAACCTGAAACCTATATAATGACATCAGAAATTAAAAAAGAAATTAGATAAATTTCATGTATACGACAGTGGCAGCCAGGATCTTGATTGCAAGAAACTGGAAAAGTGACAAAACACCTACGGTAAATCTGGTGTGGGAATTTACGCGTGGGGGCTTTCTCGGGAAGGAAGCGTTGCTGAGGTTGGCGGGGTTTACTCCCAAGTAAGGGTGTGCAGAATAAGGAAGAGGGAAGCCGGGAAAGGGGGCGAGGTGTAGGCGAGGGAATTAAGAGCAACATGGTGGGCAACACTGGGGTGTGAGGGATGGGTTATAAAGAGTATCTGAGGGGTGGATCAACAGGACTTCAGCCAGCTGACTTCCCGTGGGACTGATAGGGGTGCATATAAACACACTTGTGCAGGTTGCATTTTGCAACAAACAGGTGCTTAATTGTTGGCAGGCAGAAGGGTGATCCTTTTATCTTGTGAATGTAGATGTTTACATATGGAATAAGTATTGGAAGGGAGGAGGGTTATTGGTTTATTCTTGTTTTCATTGTGTATTTTGTGTTTTTTGTCTTGTATTTTTATGTGTGAACTGCCCTGAGACCTGCACATGAAGGGCGGTATGCAAATTCAATAAATGAATAAATGAATAAATAAATAAATAGAAGGGGGTGGCTTAAGAGAGAAAGGAACTGAATGGAGAAAAAAAGCACTGAGTTATACCATAAAATTATATATCAATGGAAAGATAGTTTAATGAAGAAGGTAATGCAATAACTTTCATGAAGGATTATTTATTACAGAAGTCATTAAGAAGAAAAATGAAACACACAGAAAAAATGAGATATACAGGTGAAATTGCCATGTTGGAATTGCCCAAAGCCAAAGTGGGCTTTGGGTTTCAGTTTGGGTACTCAGTCTCTAAAAGGTTCGCCATCACTGGCATAGGGGGCAATAAACGTGACTGCTGCAAAAATGAAGACAACTCATCTACACAACATATGGTTATCCCCCGATTTTGTGAGCTGGACATACATACATATCACATGGACACCTGATTTTTCTTCCCCAACCATGGCCTGGGCGAGTGGCAGATTAACAGCACAATCCTATGCATGCACTGTGCTCAATAGTGCTTACTCACAGGAAAATGTGTGTGACACTTGTTACTAACAGTATCAAGTTTGAATTTCTTATTTCAAGTCCAGATTGTATTGCTCAGATCCAAGTTGGTTCTGGTTCACCCCAAAATCTAGACTGAATGAACCCCACAGCCTCTAAGCATAGACAGAAAGGCAAGCATGTCGTTCATAAACTATCCTAGGCTTCACCTCTTATTTCTGTACCAATGATGGATTCAATAAAAAATGGTCAAATCATTGTTTTGAAAATCAATCCAACCCATCCTGAAACCAACCAAGATTTTGGTTGTAGTGGAATTTGGGGGTATACTTACTAGAAATTTGATGTTTTTCTTTTAGGCCACAGGAAACAATTGTTACCTTGATGGGAATCTGTAAAGATATTTTGGATTAGAACAATGCTTACTTTCTTATCTTTTGGACTAAGATGGTTCAGTAACATGTTCACATTGTCTGATTTCCATTCCCAGGAACGGCTGGAAAAGAAATCAAAGAGCATCATGTACTCGTGGAGGCGGTTGTACATCTTCATCATTCTGAAAGACAGAACAGAGATCCCATCCAAAATGGATGGGATTACCACAGTTGGTTCACAATCCATATAGCCATGCAAGAATTTAAAGCCCTCTGAAGAGATCGGCTACTCCAGATCAAAGCCTGCTCCAGATCAAAGCTTGCACTTGAAATAAATTTTGAAAATGATTATCAGAATGAGTTTATTCACGCATTCTGCAGCCTCTTAAATATTCTTTGAAGAAACCAACCATCAGACTGGCAGGCCTTCCATTCTTAACTTGCCTTCCGTTTTCCTCTGGCAGCAGTTATGGTATGTGTAGTGCTGTATGGAAGTGAGAGCTGGACCTTAAAGAAGGCTGATCGCCAAAGAATTGATGCTATTGAATTATGGTGCTGGAGGAGACTCTTGAGAGTCCCGTGGACTGCAAGAAGATCAAACCTATCCATGAGTGCTCATTGGAAGGACAGATCCTGAAGCTGAGGCTTCAATACCTTGGCCACCTCATGAGAAGAGAAGACACCCTGGAAAAGACCCTGAAGGAGAAGGGGAAGATAGAGGAAGAGATGGTTGGACAAGTGTTCTCAAAGCTACCAACATGAGTTTGACCAAACTGTGGGAGGGCAGTGAAAGACAGGAGTGCCTGGTGTGCTCTGGTCCAGGGGGTCACAAAGAGGCGGACATGACAACAATTGTAATGCAGCTAGAGATTTTTGAGATGGCTATCACTGCCAGTGATTGGCTGAGCTGCTCCAATGTTACAGAGGAATGGGAAAAGAAAACACAAAGGGGTTGGGCCTGGGAAATGAACAGGTCAAAGAAGAGGGAGAGGAGACAGAAAGGTTGGAAGATGCAGCAGCCAAAGAGAACATGAGGAAGCAGAAAAAGACCATAAGCAAGAGCTACAGAAAACTGATCTTTACCCAGGGATTTAAGTGCAATCTGAAATCCGGCTGAACTTTCACAAACGTTTTCTTGCCCATCAAGAGGGTGGACAACTAATATGGAACTATTTTTCAGGTTTGTGTTTTTTCCAAAAAAATTTTTTGCATTGTTAAAGGTTTGATTTACATTTTCTGTTAGCAAAGTTTCTAGCAGTGTCAATTTTTTCACCTTTAATACTAAAAATGTAGGATACAATTCAACACAGAGTTGAGGATCTTTAAGCCCAATTGAAATTAAATCAGTGTGCACAACTTTTGTGTTGGAATATGAGCTATGGCCAGGATCCAAAGAGCAGTGCAACTAATTATGTGCACTTAAGAAATCCTTGAACTTGGGTTTTGCCTCCATGCAAAATGGCAACCCTCTTCTTAAGTGGAGAGAACTTCTGAATGCAGTTTGAGAAGGTAGGGAGTGAAAAAAGAAATCCTACAGGGAAACCCAAGACTTTGAGTATAAAAATAGTTCTTTGGGTCCTCGTGACTACAGACGACATTTACTAAAATTCTATTGAAATCAATGTCTTCAGCATATCTGCTTGTAACACTGGGTGCAGACACAATATTTGAACAAGCTTAAAAAATCCACTTTAAGGATTTTTCAACTGTAACCCACTCTTCAATTTAGAAACTGCCTATTATTTTTAATAGTTATGTTTTCCAAGATAATCTTGACAAATCTCTATAAACTGGTGCAACATTTTCCTTGCTGCTCTTTACACACACACACACACACACACACACACACACACAAACTTGTAGATGTAATGACCAGAACAAGCTGTCTAGATCCTACTCACGCCCTCTCTGGGTGGTTCTACTGTTGCTTCAGTGCTGAACTCATTAACAGCAATAAAGAAAGAACAACAGACAACAAGGTTGCTTTTTTCTTTTCGTTCATGTATATAGCAAGTCAAATTCCCTACAGTGCTTGACAATACAGGCAATGGTCGTTTGGGGAATGGGCTGCCCGTTACCCCCTCACACTTTGTTTCCTGGCCACTTCTGGGTTGCTGCAATGCTTGTGTTCATGGTCAAACACCAATTGGTTGTTGCCCGTACAGGGGTTATGTTCCAAGGCACCACACATTTAAGTGAAATTGCATATATCTGAAATGGCATTAGAAAACCCTGCAAACAACCCATTCAGCCCTGCCCAGTCCCGCCCCTTTTTGTGACGTTTTCATGTCCCTTCCAGGTTTGATGCGATGCACATGGTCATGGCTACACACATATTAGATGCACCTAAAATGGTCACTGCCTGTTTAAGCATTTAGCAGTTTTCCCTCACCTTGGCTTCCTTCCAGTTAGCCTTAAATACAAATCATAGAGAAAGGCGGGGAACTTGTGACTAACAGTTCTCCAATACTCATACGTAAAGTCGCTTTGGGTCATGCAAGCATTAGGGATTCTGAAGGCTTTCTCCAGGGGAATCCTCTCCAATATGTTCATGGCAACATCACCTGTAAAATAACAGGGGACACGGTTGTTGTTTTTGCTTTTATCAAAAGACAATTGAAGTCATACTTGCAAGAGCATACAGATAGGCCTGAATTAACTTAGTATTGTTTGATTACAGAAAAGCAACGAGAAAAGGCTGCAATTAACTTTTGCACTCTGCAAACTTTTGCACTCATCTGGGAAAGTGAGAGATCTTTTGCAGTAGGATTCATTCCATCCTTTGTCTACATACCTAAGAAAGTTAATAGGATTACAAATAGAGAGCCATCTCTCTGATTATTTCGACGTAACGTCAGCTAGCGTGCATTTTCCCCCTCTTAAAACATCCACAAGAAATAATGTGTTTCTACCTTTCATTCAAGGGACGCGGGTGGCACTTTTGTTTAAACCACTGTGCCGGTTGGACTTGCCAATCAGAAGGTTAGCAGTTTGAGGCCCCGCGACGGGGTGAGCTCCCACCATTCGTCCCAGCTCCTGCCAACCTAGCAGTTCGAAAGCATGCAGTGCAAGTAGATAAATAGGTACCGCTCCAGCGGGAAGGTAAACAGCTTAGTCATGCTGGCCACATGATCCAGAAAAACTGCCTGTGGAAGGAACAAATGCCAGCTCCCTCAGCCTGTAAAGTGAGATGAGCACTGCAACCCCAGAGTCGTTTGCGACTGGACTTAACTGTCAGGGGTCCCTTTCCTTACCTTTCAGTCTGCTTTGAACAGGAAGATGATGATAAGACCCAAGGGACATTCCTGCCCTCCTTACTCTTTCAGTGAAAGCAATGATAGAGGGGAATTAGAAATTCTGTCTAGAGGAGGAAAGGCTGTCTGGCGATCCAGGAGACTAACTTTTGGCTGAGTTGTTGAGCCCTTCCTGGCACTACTACTCACAGAACTACTTGTATCTGTAACTGCTGATTTACACTATCCCCCTTAGGGATAAACTACATTAAGGACACTTAAAAATCCCCATATCACATTTTCCCAGAGCATATAGCTTCAGTGGATTCAGGACAAAACATTAAATCTTCTAAGATTTTTACATTTCAGTGGTTTCAGCCACATGGACTCTAATGCCAACTGACATAAGTCACTGTGTGAAATAGCTTCGGAGCAGTTTTGCCAAAGGACCTTGATTCTATTCTGTTCCCCTGCTGCTGCTTTTCAATGCACAGTGTTCATTTCAACTGCATACTCTGCATTTCATCTCCATACAGAATTCCTGCTGACCTTAATGAGTCCTTGTGCATAATGGACTCTCCTGTCTTCCTCTGCCTCCTGTAATTGGTCAAACTCATGTTGGTAGCTTTGAGAACACTGTCCAACCATCTCATCCTCTGTCGTTCCCTTCTCCTTGTGCCCTAAATCTTTCCCAACATCAGGGGCTTTTCCACGGTGTCTTCTCTTCTCATGAGGTGGCCAAGGTATTGGAGCCTCAGCTTCACGATCCAGTGAGCACTCAGGGCTGATTTCCTTAAGAATGGATACGTTTGATCTTCTTGCGGTCCATGGGACTCTCAAGAGTCTCCTCCAGCACCATAATTCAAAAGCATCATTTTTTCGGCAAATCAGCCTTCTTTATGGTCCAACTCTCACGTCCATACATCACTACTGGGAAAACCATAGCTTTAACTTTAAGGACCTTTGTCGGCAAGGTGATGTCTCTACTTTTTAAGATGCTGTCTACGTTTGTCATTGCTTTTCTCCCAAGAAGCAGGCATCTTTTAATTTCGTGACTGCTGTCACCATCTGCAGTGATCACGGAGCCCAAGAAAGTACCGTATTTTTCGCACGATTGGACACACCGGACCATTGGACGCACCTAGTTTTTTGGGGGGGAAATAAAGGAAAAAAAATTCCCCTTTATTTCCCCCCCAAAAGCAGGTCAGGGAAACCGAACCAGGTCGAGGAACAGCGGGATAGTGGCGCTGCGCCTCCCTGCTGTCCCCCAAGCTTGCGGGGCTGGCCGATGTCTGTCCGGCGGGCGGGGAGCTCTGCTTCAGGGCGCCCCACCCGCCAGGCAGCAGGCTGCTATCCGCAGCGTGGGGAGCCTTGTCGGGAACTCCTGCAAGCCTCCCCACTCTGCGGATGTCTGCCTGGCGCGAGGGGCGCTCTGCTTCAGGGCGCCCCACCCGCCAGGCAACAGGCTGCTATCCGCAGCGTGGGGAGCCTTGTCGGGAACTCCTGCAAGCCTCCCCACTCTGCGGATGTCTGCCTGGCGCGAGGGGCGCTCTGCTTCAGGGCGCCCCACCCGCCAGGCAGCAGGCTGCTATCCGCAGCGTGGGGAGCCTTGTCGGGAACTCCTGCAAGCCTCCCCACTCTGCGGATGTCTGCCTGGCGCGAGGGGCGCTCTGCTTCAGGGCGCCCCACCCGCCAGGCAGCAGGCTGCTATCCGCAGCGTGGGGAGCCTTGTCGGGAACTCCTGCAAGCCTCCCCACTCTGCGGATGTCTGCCTGGCGCGAGGGGCGCTCTGCTTCAGGGCGCCCCACCCGCCAGGCAACAGGCTGCTATCCGCAGCGTGGGGAGCCTTGTCGGGAACTCCTGCAAGCCTCCCCACTCTGCGGATGTCTGCCTGGCGCGAGGGGCGCTCTGCTTCAGGGCGCCCCACCCGCCAGGCAGCAGGCTGCTATCCGCAGCGTGGGGAGCCTTGTCGGGAACTCCTGCAAGCCTCCCCACTCTGCGGATGTCTGCCTGGCGCGAGGGGCGCTCTGCTTCAGGGCGCCCCACCCGCCAGGCAGCAGGCTGCTATCCGCAGCGTGGGGAGCCTTGTCGGGAACTCCTGCAAGCCTCCCCACTCTGCGGATGTCTGCCTGGCGCGAGGGGCGCTCTGCTTCAGGGCGCCCCACCCGCCAGGCAACAGGCTGCTATCCGCAGCGTGGGGAGCCTTGTCGGGAACTCCTGCAAGCCTCCCCACTCTGCGGATGTCTGCCTGGCGCGAGGGGCGCTCTGCTTCAGGGCGCCCCACCCGCCAGGCAGCAGGCTGCTATCCGCAGCGTGGGGAGCCTTGTCGGGAACTCCTGCAAGCCTCCCCACTCTGCGGATGTCTGCCTGGCGCGAGGGGCGCTCTGCTTCAGGGCGCCCCACCCGCCAGGCAGCAGGCTGCTATCCGCAGCGTGGGGAGCCCTGTGGGGAATTCCTGCAAGCCTCCCCATGCTGCGGATGTGTTCCCGAAGCGCCTGGAGCTCTGCTTTCAGGGCGCCCGGCGCTCCGGGAAGCAGGCTGAGCGGAGCGCTAATCCGAAGCCCCAAGCTTCGGGATTAGCGCGGCGCTTCGCTAGCCCTGGGAGAGCCACGCAACGTCGCGGGGCTCTCCCAGGGCTAGCGAGACCTTGCCGGCACCCAGAAGCTTGGGGCGCGCTGAGCTCCGCGCGCCCCAAGCTTCGGGATTAGTGCGGCGCTTCGCTAGCCCTGGGAGAGCCACGCAACGTCGCGGGGCTCTCCCAGGGCTAGCGAGACCTTGCCGGCACCCAGAAGCTTGGGGCGCGCGGAGCTCAGCGCGCCCCAAGCTTCGGGATTAGCGCGCCGCTTCGCTAGCCCTGGGACCTTGCCGGCACCCAGAAGCTTGGGGCGCGCGGAGCTCAGCGCGCCCCAAGCTTCGGGATTAATGCAGCGCTCCGCTAGCCGCGGCTAGCGGATAGCTTCCTGAAGCCTGGAGAGCGAGAGGGGTCGGTGCGCACCGACCCCTCTCACTCTCCAGGCTTCAGCGAAAGCCTGCATTCGCTCCATAGGACGCACACACATTTTCCCTTGCTTTTTAGGAGGGAAAAAGTGCGTCCTATGGTGCGAAAAATACGGTAAAATCTCTTACTGCCTCAATTTCTTCTCCTTCTATTTGCCAAGAGGTGATGGGACCAGTGGGACCAATCTTCGTTTTTTTGATGTTGAGCTTCAGACCATATTTTGCTCTTTCACCCTCATTAAGAGGTTCTTTAATTCCTCCTCACTTTCCCGCTTTTTTGCGTTAGTAAATGTGCTGGGCTGGGAGAAGGACTCTGTTGTCGTCAGGGATCTGTTCTGGGAGGGGCTAAATGGACCAGTGAAAGATGAGCTGGCAAGGGGGGAGAGACCTAACAGCACCACAGAAGTCGTTCAAAGAGCGCTGTCGATAGGCGTGCGCCTGGAAGAATGCCCTTGGAGCAGGAATGAGGGAAGTATGGGGCGCACACCAGCCAAAACAACCCCCTTCCTACCCAGAGAGACAGGGCGCGCGCAATCCACGCCTCCACTGGGGAGGGGAGAAGAGCCGATGGAGATAGGTGGTGCTAGGGCTCAGACAGCGACCAGAGCCCAAACACCAGGAGCAGTCAAGGCGAAGGCTCCTAGAGGGAACAGGAAGTGCTATATCTGCGACAGTGCACAGCACATGGCCAAAGAGTGTCCCCAGAGGCACACTGCAGCCTCAGCAACAGTAAGGGGAGCAGTTCAGCAGGGGGAACAGCTGCAGGGAAACGACGAAGCCTGGTTGGAGGCAGAGGTACTGGGGCCCAGCCAGACGAGTCAGTGAAGCAGTCCCCAGAGATTTTACAGCCCACAGACCCCCTCCCACCCAAACCAGTGGTGCAACTCACCGCATCGCTCCAGCTGCCCAATGGACTCACCCTGGAAGTTCCTATTACCATTGACTCTGGCAGTAATGCAGACTTTGTAGGAGTGGACTTCATCAAGCAATATTGCATAGCGCTCCTACCAGCCACGATGCCCCTAAACATAGTCACGGTCGATGGCAGAGAGCTACTGGGAGGACAGGTGGTACAGCAAACACCCCCTATGGTCAATTGACCTTCGGCTCCTCCTACTGCGCGGAACACTGCATCCGGACCAGCCAGGAAGAGGAGGGGCAAGGGGATGAACCACAGCTACATCTGGGCATGGTGCAAGCTGTACCTAACAAGTACAAGGCGTTTTTTGGAGGTCTTCTGCGAGAAGGAAGCGGACAAGCTGCCTCCCCACAGGCCCTACGACTGCAAGATTGACAAGGGCAAGACGGCGGAATTGGTAGCCAGAGACTTTTGGTGGCCCAAGATGAGGGGAGAAGTCGCGGATTACGTCACTAGGTGTGACACATGCCAAAGGGCCAAACCAGTACACAGGCCGCCGGCGGGACTGCTGGAACCGCTACAGACGCCGCTCGAGCCATGGGAGAAAGTGGCCCTGGACTTTGTAACAGATCTGCCCAGTTCGCGAGGCAAAACAGCGGTACTCGTGGTCGTAGACCTGTTCACCAAGATGGCGCACTTCATTCCTTGCGCGAAGGTGGCCACAGCGGAACAGACCGCCAACCTGTTCATAGACCACGTGTTCAAGGTTCACGGCTTGCCGCGGTCCATCCTGTCCGACCGGGGTCGCCAATTCATCTCGAGCTTCTGGCACAAGCTGCTGGGCATCCTAAACGTCAAGATCAACTTAGCGTCGGCACGACACCCGCAGACTAACGGACAAGCGGAGAGGGTCAACGCCATCATGCAGCAGTACCTGAGATGCTATGCGAACCAACAGCCCGCGACCTGGGTGGACTACCTACCGCTGGCCGAGTTTACCTACAACAACACGAAGCACGTGTCCACGAGGGTGACACCGTTCTTCGCCAACAATGGGCGGCATCCCAGAACCTTCCCGGGGTTGGAGACGAAGGGGGAGGGGGAGCCCCGGGAGCAGAGGCCTTGGCAGCGGAGTTACAGGAGGTCCACGAGCAACTCTGAAGGCACTTGGAACTAGCAAAACACGCCTACAAAATGCAGGCAGACAGGCACAGGAGAGTCGGGGAAGACATCCAGGTGGGGGACTGGGTCTGGTTAGCAGCCCAGGCAGTGCCGGCCAGAACGTTAGCTAAGAAGAAGCTCGGACACAAGCAGCTAGGGCCTTACCAAGTCGAGGCACAAATCAATCCGGTGGCCTTCCGGTTGGCACTCCCGGAGGGCTCCAGAATGCACCCGGTCTTTCATAGATCAGTGCTCACACCCTACAAGGAACCCCACAGGTTTCAGGCACCAGGGGCCGCACCAGACCCACTCAGCACATCGCCAACAGGGGAGGGGTCACCGAGGGCGGCGCTACTCAACGAGGTCACGGAGATTTTAGACTCGAGATGGGGGGAAGAGGGAGTTGAATATCTCCTCGCCAGGGAAGGTACCCCGGCCAGCGCCAACAGGTGGGTGCCGTACTATGCAGTGGAGGAGCACTACCTCAAAGACGAGTTCCATGCACTCTTCCCACACAGACCTATGCCGGCAGATTATTTCGATGACTGGCTTTTCACACCCACACTCTCAGCCAGCATGTTCCACGGGTTCTCATCAGATGAGGAGCCGGCGCCAGACACACGATCCCCGGAGGGATCACTCTCGGGGTTTGCCACAGACCGCTCTTATTGGTGGGACAATCAACCGGAGGTGGGGTGGAGCAGGGAACTGCTGAGGGGGCCCTTACACGCAGCATCGCCCGAGGCAACAGGGGGAGAGACGGACATGGACGTGTTGGGGGAGGATCCTGGGTTCGAGCACAGCTGCAGAGAGATAGAAGCAGAGGAGATTGACGTCGACGAACCCATCACGGACTGGCCGGATCCAGCTGGCGAGCTGCACACCAGGGGGGAAGAACTGTACCCCGCACTCACCCCCACAGCACTGGAGCACCCGGAACCCGCACCCGAAGAAGGGGAGGGGGGAAGGGGGGCTTCGAGGGGGGGATGGATGTCAGGGGCTCAGGAGCAGAGACACAGGGGAGAGAGGGGATGGAGAGCGAAGGGGAAGAATCTGAGGGCAGCGTAGGGGAGTATGAAAGTGGCCCGAGAGATTCCATGAGTCTCTCCAGCGAATCAGAAGATTCCCAGAGGGGGGCGCCGATGGGCAGGGCAAGGGGGGTCCCAGGGGGGACACCCCAGAAGCAAGGGGCCAGCGGGGACTCCCAAAGCAGCAGCGGGAGAGCAGGACCAGCTCCTCCACCAGAGCGTAGTGAGGGGGAAGAGTCACATGTATCAGGGCCAGCTTCCTCCAGCAGGGAGAGAGGATGAGTCAGAGGTGGCCACGCCTCCATCACAGAGTGAGGGAACGGAGGGAGAGTCAGGTGCAGCTAGCCTCCCCGAAGGGGGAAGCAGTGACAGGAGCAGTGTAACGGTCAGGAGGAAGGTGGCCGGCTGGGCGCGCGCGCCAAGTTCGAATGTACAGGCGCGCGGCACAGCAGGAAACCAGGATTGGGAACCAGGTCCTAAAGCCCGCCGGAGGGAGGGGGAGGACTCAGGAGACTCAGCGTCAGAAGAGTCTAGGAGAGGCGAGACCCCAGCGGACAGGCGGGCCCAGAGGAGAAGAGAGCAGAGGAAGAGGTGGAGCAAGGCTAGAGTCTTAAACTGGTGTCTGGGGGGAGGAGATTCAGACGGAGCTTCGGCGGTCTAGAGTTTGAGACGTAGAGCTGCGCGCCGCGGCTGTGAAAGCAAAACTGAGCTTCAATAAAGACTGTTTTATATAACAACGAACTGGCGTTGGTCCTTTGTGAGCTGGGACCTAGGGCAGCTCTGACACCTAGCTTTCTCCATAATCCAGCGCACGTTTGCAATTGGTCCCTGGTTCCTCTGCCCCTTTGAAATCCAACTTGCACTTACTACTTTCTTCTGTTTAAGCTTGAATAGAAAAAGCTGATGATCTAAGCCACAGTCAGCTCCAGGTCTTGTTTTTGCTGACTGCATAGAGCTTCTCTGTCTTTGGCTGCAGAGAGTATAATCAATCTGATTTTGATGCTGCCCATCTGCTCTTGTGTTGTTGGAAAAGAATGTTTGTGATGACCAGCTTGTTTTCTTGACAAAACTCTATTAGCCTTTGTCCTGCTTCATTTTGAACTCCAAGGCCAAACTTACCAGTTGTTCCTTTTATCTCTTGACTCCGTACTTTAGCATTCCAATCCCCTATAATGAGAAGAACATCCTTCTTTGGTGTCATTTCTAGAAGGTGTTGTAAGTCTTCATAGAATTGGTCAATTTAACAGTCCGTGGCTACACTGGAGCTTCTGCACTGGAGCCCTCAAGAACCAAAGGTCAGCAATGCAACCTCCTCAGGCCACAGAGGTGCTGGCAGAATGGACTCTTTCTGTATCTGATGTTTCAGAGCACGAGGGTCTTCCAAGGCAAGCTCTGAGGGCAATTCCCTCTCACCTTCTGATGCTTCCTCCAAAGTCATTGCCTTGTTCTCCCACCACTGCCTCAGGAGAGTCCTTCCAGTGGGCTTGGCTTGTTTGGTATCACTGGTGTGAACTGCTTACAAAATTAGGGGAATGGATGCAGGACCTGATAATATCACCTGCCCCTATGGTAATGGGAACCCATAATATATTTTGGACTTTATATTCTCTCTCACCACTGGTTTGTGACTGTGCTGTAGGTGAGTGTTCTGGAGTCAATGGAACAAGAAATGTAGCACAAAATAAAATTTCAAGTTGCCAAAACATTGGGGTTTTTTGCTTTTAATTTAATAGAAGGCAGAAGGCCACAGGGTTAATCAGGGTAATTAATAATTACCCTGATAATTCACAGCCTTTATCTGTGGATGTACCAGGGCAAGCTTTCAGGATTGCATTGGCAGAATCCACCAAATATGTGCCATGTCCGAAACCTGTGATTTTCATGGAATCCACCTTGCACTTTTAAAAATAAACTTACGTATTTCTCCCCAGGAAAATGGGCTGATGTTACTTGTTATACAATTGTATACCAACAGTGACTTGGGCCTGAAAAATAAGCAAGGAGGGAAAGAATGAAATGGAGAAATAAAACAAAACACAGTATTGTTTTGTTTAGAATGGCTATCATTCTAAATTTCCTAAATTTCTAACAGCTGAGTAGTCATGCTTCTTTCCTGAATTAAAAAGGAAGGTTTAAAATTAGAGGAACTTTTACATCCCAAAGGTTTACTTTAAAAAAGCAAATACCCATGCACTTCTGTATAAATCACCAATCTTGCAGCTTAGGAGGAGCCCAGCCCAGAGCAGTGACTCATGCAGAAATTGGTCATGTTGCACATCTGTGCTGGGGTTGATGCCATCCCACACCTGATGCAATGGACATGGCTCTTACTTTGGTACAATAGCTTAAAATGTAGTAAAACCAGAGGTTTCTACACACACACACACACACACACACACCCTCCATCCAAGTGACCAAGAAGCATAATTGCAATTCAAAGACACTTTCCACCCAGGCAAAAGCAATGAAGGGCATGAGCCATGACTCATGTGTGTGGCCTGCGGGTGGACTAGACAGAAAATATTGCTCATTTTTTATTTCTGTGCAACTGAGTATTTCTCACACATTTTACTCTTGAATAATCTAATAAATGTCTCAAATTAGAAACCTGGCTCTGAGTAATGAGGCTTTATTTGCAGATCTCATCCCACAATGACTATTCTGCCCATTGCTAAAGAACAGCTGATTAGGTCTCTCTTCTTCCCCTTTAAATTTTGTAATTCTTTCGCTTGCTTTTTTTTTTGGTATGATGTCATTTTATTTGCATTGTACAGTGGTGCCCCGCAAGACGAATGCCTCGCAAGACGGAAAACCCGCTAGACGAAAGGGTTTTCCGTTTTTTAGTTGCTTCGCAAGACGAATTTCCCTATGGGCTTGCTTCGCAAGACGAAACGTCTTGCTAGTCTTGCGATTTCCCCCCCGCTTTCCCCCCCTTTTCTAAGCCGCTAATAGCCTTTTAGCAGCTAAGCCGCTAAGCCTTTAATAGCCGCTAAGCCGCTAATAGCGCTAATCCGCTAAGCCACTAATAGGGTTGCTTCGCAAGACGAAAAAACCGCTAGACGAAGAGAATCGCGGAACGGATTCTTTTCGTCTTGCGAGGCACCACTGTACTGTTTAAAGGCTGATGTGTTGACCTCCCTGGACTCCTCTGGCAGGAAGGCTGAGATATACATTTAAAAATGACTGACTGAATGAATGAGAAGTTTGAATCTGCACATGTTCATATTCAAATGTGGTGGTGGTAATACCATAAGCGAGCTAGCTACACAAAATGCATACCTCAGCATACCTACAAGGGAAGGTAGAAACTAGAATGCATATTCATAACATCAGTCCTTTAAAAAAACAACTATTTTATTAAAGGTTTTCAACCTAATAGACCATAAAATTCCAACTAAAATAAAGGGAATAATAGAAAACATCAGAATAATAGAAAATAATAGAATAATAGAAAATCAGACAGAAAGAACTAACAAGAAAAAGAAAATACAGCACATTAATAAACCTCACAGGATATTCAGAAGACACAAAAGTTTAAATATAGCCCTTGGCCACCCGTTTATCTTGATCTTCACCCATACAGAGAGTTGAATTCTCCCACCTCCCACCTGGGAGAGCTTCCTCTTCCTCCGTTTCACACCCTGAGAAAACCTCTTTCATACAGGCCCCTTCCTTTTCTCTCTGTCAGCTCTCTGTACACATCTTCATCTTTCAAAATATAATTGTTTAGATGTTAAGACATATACATCTAGTTAGTACTAATCGAGAGCCATCCAAAAATCAAAGATCATAAAAGAGATCAAAGAGATCATATAAAAGATCAAATCCAAAACAAGAAAAAGAAAAACAAGAAAGAAGAGATAAAGAAAGAAGGGGAATCTCAGTAACCTATTTGCCCATGTAAGTCCATCACAAAACACCAGTCCTACCTCTGAACTGCAGTGTACCATCCAGCAGCAAGGATCAAATTGATGGCAATATCTACAGGAATGATATCTGCAACTGCATCTTTGTTGCATTTTACAATCCGTGCAATCCCCTTTCCAGTCTGTGGGTTGGAGAAGGGGCTAGTTAGCAAATTTTGTGGTATAATTTCATTGCCCAGAGATAATGCACCTGAAATTGGATCGAGATTTCAGTAAAATGGAGAACTACTTTCATCACTTGAAAGGTGATAGTTATGGGCAAATTATCTTTGCCAAAATCATTCTGATTTTGTTTTGGTTTTCCAAATCATCCCGAGTACGTGCAAAGGTACTGTGCGCCCACACAGTGGGCGCATATTATTGAGGAAAGCAAAAAAGACCCACATAAAGTATGGCCACCCTCTCCTCATTCTCGCCACTGCTTTCCCAAGCAGCAAAAACCAACCAATCAACCAATTTAAAGGGGGTGGGGAATAACTGGCAACAGGCAAGGCTTGCTTTCTGGCCTGTCTTCAACTGAAAATAAGAGAGGCTGCAAAGACATCCCCTGTATATAAATTTTACTACTACTACTTAGTAGTGAATTTTACTACTATTACTAATAGTGATTTGCACCAATAGTTGCTGCTTCATTGTTTGTTCAAAGTATGCAACAAACTCCACCTGCAAGGAGTTTGTTTCTTCTGTTTCTTAAGGACATTAAGTACTAATTATCAGAGGTTACATATGAGGTTGCATATTTCTGAGGCCCTGGTCCAGCATCTCAGGAACCTAAGAATTCTACTAGGTGACACATACCGCAATCAAGAAAATGCATGGTCCATTGAACTGATCAATCCACCCCTGAAAAGAAAAAAAATAAGGGAAAGCAATTATGGAGAGGGAAATTTTGAGTTTCTATTATGGGGAGGGGGAGGGAGAGTTGAGATTATGCATAGCACATTTCCCATATTCCAATCTGTGAATCTGAAGCCTAGTGCACATTTTTTCTGCCTGAGATTGATGGTTTTTATTGATGTGAGTCAGCAAACAAAAGTTGGGTTAAAAATATGGTAAAAAAATAAACATGGTCATAGACCACTTTTTTAAGAGTGTTGAAAATGGTTTTGGAGAGGTTTTGCGTTCTGTGACATTCACATATTTTGTCTAAGCAAGCTACTGGTCAAATAGGTTTTGTAGATTTTAGAAATACAAAAATATTCCAAATTCATTTACCAGAGGCAAAAGTAGAATGAGTGGACACATCCCTCTTTCAAATTGTTTCCAAATTCTCTCTCTCTCTCTCTCTAAAAAAAAAGGATGGTTGTGGCAATGCTGGGATAAGGGGACTATGTAACTTAGGCACTCATCAATCCACCACCTAAATCCAATTCACTAAAAAAACCACAACTAGTTTTTTTGTTTTTTTAGAAGAAAAGGTGCTGGTACGTGAAGTGCCACACTTTTAACCTTTGGAGGACAAAAGGTGTTGGTACCTTTGAGCACCCCAGAAAAAGCACTGCGAAAAGCCATCCTCATCTGCTTATGTTAGCAATCACCACTTGCCCAAAAGATTCTGCCCAAAGCAGTTTACCACATTCTAAGTAAACAGCAGTAATACAAAAGGCATTATAGGAATAAGTACAAATAAGCATAGTGTTAGGGAATAACCTCAAGACTTAAATCACAGTATTAGTTGTAGGTGCTTTATAAACGAGTAATGAAAAATTGTTATTTATTCACCGCAGGATGCATTCATCCCCACACAAAATTGGGAATGAATGTCCCCAAAGGGGTATGGAAAAGAAATCCATGGTCCAGGATCCATACGGTTCTCCTTCCTTCCTCCCCTCGTTGCCAAGAAGCAAGACAGTCCAAGGAATGGATGCCGTTGAGATTTTTTAGCAAATGTATTTGTAGCAACAATTTCCAGAGAGACAAAATGCTGGGAGCAAAGCAACAGCTGCAGTGGGAATTTTCAGAGTACTCAACAGAAATGGAAGAGCAGTCATGCTTACGGGGAAAGGTTCTTGCCAGCTGCAGCACACGATGGATGGTCGAATGATGGCAGTGTTTAGGTTACCTTTCTCTTGCTGAATTACATACTCTGTCAAGGATTTGGTGAATGTGTAGGTGTTGGGCCAATCCCCAATCAGTTTGGGTGTGATCTCTTGAATGAGGGACTCATCCATCCCCCTAACAGGATAATAAAACAACAACAACCACCCATTGAAATATAGCCATGAAAAGAAACGATGCAAAGGAGGAAAAGGGGAATTAGATTTGTAGAACAACCATCAAAATAAGATGGACAAGATTTCAGCACTCCCCATTGCAAGTTAAGATATTACTTCTATTATTACTATTATTATTCTTACTACTATTCATTAAATTTGTATACCACCCTTCATCCGTAGATCTCATGGCGGTTCACAGGCTAAAATAAAAAATAAAAATACAAAATGCATGATAAAAATAAAAATAAGAACAAGAACAAAACAAGCCCATAATCCCCCCTCCCACAAACACATTTAAAGGAACATAGGAAGAAGGCAGGAGTAGGAGTTTTTTCCTGCTGCATGACTCGCCCCCCCCCCCACCTACTAGAAAAGGAATTGTAGATTTGGAAGAAACCTCAAGCATAGCAGCCAACTTAGGAGCCAACTCTTAGGGGCCATGAGGTCTTCACCCCCAATAAAACATTAGAGGGGGCACCCCCCAGTTGATGGCCATTGCCATTCAAATTATTATTATTATTATTATTATTATTATTATTATTAATGGGTTGGGTTTCAAATGGTGTGCATGCATCATGTGATTATGTGGCGCGGGGCTTACCTGGGGCCCCCAATTCAAGCTGGCACCCCTGACCTCAAGGGTCATCCAGTCCAGCCTCCTAAACTGCAAGGATCTTAAATGTAACATCCAAGAGAAATGGCTGTCCAACCTCTGCTTCAAAACCTCCAAGGAAGGAGATTCTACCACTTCTCGTAGAAGTCAAACAGCTCTTACTGTCAGAAAGTTCTTCCTGATGTTTAGTCAGAATCTCCTTTCTTGTAACTTGAATCTATCCAAGATGGAGACCCTTTTGTTCGGTCTGGGAGATTATAAATGATGACATGGGAAGGTAGTGAGAGGAATTTGTGGTGGGGAAGCAGAGTGAGGGTTGCAAGTAACAAGAGGGGGAAAGATGGGTCTAGCCTTACAAAACTTACAAAAACAGCATTTAGTAGGGGAATGGATGGGCCATATTTTTAAAAGCCTATTCAAAGCTCTGCTGCTTAAATTTTAAATCTTTTTATTTAAAGGCCAAACTGCTAAATGATGAAACAACACAAGTTTTTACCAGGTATCCCACAGGGGAGGCACAGGAAGAATGTAGTTGGTCAAGGGAGCCATGGACTCAAAAAGGTTGAAAACCTCTGGTACAGAAAAAAGAATTTGAAAAGATACAGCCCTGTGTAGCAGCTACTGAAATTTCCTCTTCTATGCAATATTAAAAGTACAGAGTCTTTTTCCTTCTTGTATCTGGCCACCTTACCTACTAAATCCAATCTCCCTCTTCCCTGCTTAGCGCTCCCCCCCACCCCCGCCACAGAAAGGAAACAAATAAATCTTTCCACATCACTTTTTATACCAAGCCAGGAAAATCAAATGGCACAGGCAGGGACAGGACCTCTAAAAAGGTAACAACCCTAGTTATTACTTGAACTTATATTATTGACAGTCTACAACCAAGAAAGCTAGACGGCTTGGATGCAAACATTTTTCTCTAGTTCCTTTTAATATGGAATTCAGCATTAACTCCTGATGTGGATACAATTTTATTTAAAGGCAGCCATGTTCCCCTTTGCTGGCTTCCTTGTTAATGAAGTGCGACAATTAATCTCTGCAAATCAGAAGTCACAACATCTGAGGGCCTCAGAGCAGCCAGGGTAACAAGTAATCTGCCATATCCAAAGAGGTTTTTCTTAATCTAATGCTCAGGACAATCAGCTTTAAAGGGTATGCTGAGGCAAAAGAGCAGCACAGGACATAAAGGTAGCCTGGCATACCCTGGCAAAGCAGGCAGAATGTCTCCAAGCAGAATGGCAGGCAATGCAGAAGTTCACATTCACACCAGAAAGCTGCTTCTTGGTGTTACACTTAAAATACTTTTTGCACCAGAACTGCAAATGCTCGTAAAGATGGATTCCCAACCCCCTACTTGATGAATACAGTGACAGGGGAGCTTCGGAGGAGAGATGTGGTGTGGGCAGCAGAGCTCCTTAACTCACCTCTCTTCCTGGCCATTCCCCCTGGCCTCCTGCTGAGCCTCTTGCCTGTCTTGAAGCTAACTGGGGAAATAGACTGAAGGAGTTGTGGGGGGAAGTGCTGGGGGGTGGGGCTAAGAACTCACCATGCTGCCCACAAATGTTTCCTGTTTCCCTGTGACCAGATTGGAAACAGATGAGTCATTGGCCTGATCCAGCAGGCCTCTCCTTATGTTCATAGTTTCCTCATCTCTACATTTACATTCTTTGGCAAATATCAGCTTGGAAAGTGATCAAGGTAGTTGGTGATTTGCACATTGGTTATCTTTTTGGGAAAGCTTTCCCACTTAATCACGGAGGGAGGTAGGTGATGAAGATGGGAAAAGCCTGCACAACTGGTAGGTGGGATAGCACCACAACAGAGTGGCTAACCCTAACCCTAAGGAAGAAGCACTTAGTGTTCCAAAATCATGTTTACATCAGCAGGAGAGAAGTTTATTTCCATCACTTACTCTACAAGATCAAAAAGTTTCTGGGGATCCATAGGAGGAGGATAAATGACTTCATCTATGTAACTCCGATTACAGTATGCATAGGCAGTTGAAAGGTGGATGAAGGCCTCGAGGTTCTGTATCTGGTGGGCCAACTTCAGGAGCTGCTTTGTTCCCATGACATTTAACAGAAGGGCTTGCCTGGTTAAGAAAGCATTAAAAGGTTATTAAGAAGTCCTGTTGGCATGACCATCTAAGTAAGCATTAATAGAGCTACTTCAGATGTTTAAGGGGAACATGAATGTCAGGGCCGCCTCAGGTCCCAGCTCACAAGAGACCAACGCCAAGTCCACTTTATTTACAAAAGTCTTTATTGAAGTACATTGTTTGTTCCACAGCCGAGGCGCGCAGCCCCACGTCTGTTACGCTTAGACCGCTGAAGTCCCCTCTGAATCAGTCCTGCCTCGACACCAGTTTAAGAGGCTTCTGCTGGTCCACCTCTTCCTGTCCTTCCTTTTCCGCAGGGTCTTTCTGCCCCCCTGGGTTCCTTCCCTCCTGCTTTCCCCTGACACTGAGTCCCCAGACGCCTGCTCCCCCCTCCTCCGTGCTTTGGAACCAGGCTCCTCCTCCGGGCTCTCCGCATTTCCGCGCGCCTCCACATTTGAACTTGGCGCGCGTTCGCTACCTCTGACCTTCCTCTTGACAGCTACACTACTCTCTGTACTACTCTCCGCCCCTTCCGGCAGGACGTCTTGCCCCGATCTCCTTCCCCTCTCTGCTTCCTGCTCTGCTTCGTCTGTCACACTGGGAACTCCACCCTCTTCACTCCGTTCCGGCGGGGAAGCCGGCCCCGATCTCCAACTCCCACTCGGGGTTTCCCTGCTGCTCCCCTGCTCCTGACGAGTCCCCCCTGTGGCTCCCCTTGGCCTGACCAGGGGCGCCCCCTTTTGGGAATCCTCCGATTCACTTGAAAGACTCATGGAAACCCTCAAGTCATTGTCATCCTCCTCCTCCTCGTTCCGGGATTCTTCCCCCTCGCTCTCAGTCTCCTCCCTCATCTGTGCCTCTCTCCCTGAACCCCTGACAATGAAGAAAAGTAAGCGATGCAGCCCGCACTTCCTTCCATGTTTCTGGATCTTGGGTGAGATCTGGAAGTCACTGGTGCTGCTCCTTTTCTTGTAACTTAGGATGTGCCTATATCTCTGTGGTATTCTACAACCTTGTCTGCAGAACACCCTGGGTTCATCCATGCCACTTTATCGAAGGATCTCACCTATCAGAGCAGGGTGGGACCTCTTTTGAGCTAGAGAGGAGATGCTGCAAATCAACATGGTCGTACATAAAAGGTTGTCTGCTCAAGACTCCCCCAAAGAAACACTGCTTTGGGTTAGGTGCAAAGTTGGAATTGTCTTTGTACCTCATGATCTAAAGTACTGTGATATTAGTTCATTGAGAATGCTTAGTGAAAAGTTTGGATGAGAAGCTAACAGAATGAAAACATGTACTTTCCCTTTCCTTCTCGATGGAAGAAGAAGAAGAAGAAGAAGAAGAAGAAGAAGAGTTTGGATTTGATATCCCGCCTTTCACTCCCTTTAAGGGGTCTCAAAGCGGCTAACATTCTCCTTTCCCTTCCTCCCCCACAACAAACACTCTGTGAGGTGAGTGGGGCTGAGAGACTTCAGAGAAGTGTGACTGGCCCAAGGTCACCCAGCAGCTGCATGTGGAGGAGCGGGGAGGCGAACCCGGTTCCCCAGATTACGAGACTACCGCTCTTAACCACTACACCACACTGGCTCTAATGGAAAACTGTTCAGATATTTTTTAAAAAATCTGTAGACTACTGACTATAAGTGTATGTTTATAACTGAGCAGGAATTCCTTATGTTGTTATTTGTAATGTGTGGCTATTTTTATTTATTGCAACTCATTGTTCCCGGAAGGAAGGAAGGGGTGATTTTCTTGATACAGAAGATCAGGAGTGTTTGCCATGACCAAGCACTGTCCACCCTTTAAAGTTCAGTGTCTGAGTGCAGAACTCCCAAACTGATGTTTGCTCTGATTCAGTTTTAAAGAATGAGTTTTCAAAGGGAAAGCTTGGGACAAAAAAGAGAGAAGAAACTCAGACCTGGAGTTTTAAAGCACAACAAAAGGTAAGTGTGGATAATCCCTAAGTGAATGTATGTACTCTTGTAACTCTTTTCAAAGTGAAATTCACCATAGTACTGAAGTCACACTGACTAGGAAAGTGTCCCATTGAGCTCAGTAGTTTTACTTCTAAGTAAACCTGATTAGGACTGTGGGGTAAGAAACACAAAGGAAAAGCAAGCATAACATACCTCAGAGGCTCATCAAAGCGAATTGTTGCAGCACAATGGAAGACAATGTTAACTTCGGAGAGGAGCTCCTGAGCATCCTCAGGAGCAATGGCCAGATTTGGCTGGGTAAGTTCAGCATTGATTGGTTTAATCTTCTCATAGAAGTTTGGCCACACTTTTCTGACTCTGTCAAACACCTAAACACAAACACAAAACACAGAAAAGTGAGAAGGAGGACAGGGAACCAGGCAGATGGCCTTCTTGGTAGTGGTGCCCACCCTGTGGAACGCCCTCCATCAGATGTCAAGGGAATAAACAACTATCTGACTTTTAGAAGGCAGCCCTGTTTAGGGAAATTTTTAATGTTTGATGTTTTATTACACTTTTATATTTGTTGGAAGCTGCCCAGAGTGGCTGGGGACAACCAGTAAGATGGGTGGGGTACAAATAATAAAATTATTTTATTGTAAACAATGAGGCTCAGCCAAATGCTTTCTCCATATATTTATCCACAAAAATGTTACATATAAAACCATTCTTTTCTGAGCCTGCTAAAAACATTTTTCTTCAGACAAGCCTACCCAGATGCTTAGGAAGTTGAGGGAATACCATCAAGAGGTGTATAAATTTTATGAAAAAATAAATAAAAAGAACACGAGAAGACAACAGATAAATTCAACTCAAATCACATAATGATTCCACATTTCAGTGGAAGTTCAGAGGCATTGTAGGGAATTAAAGATGGTGGGTAGGTGCGAATGGAGCATTGTCCAGTTTGCATCACCCTCTGTGTTGCAGTGCTTAGTGTGTTAGACTAAGGCCTGGGAGAGACCAGTATTCAAATCCCTCACTTGACCATGAAACTCACCAGGTGACTCTGGGCCAGTCTGTCTCTCAACCTAGCTGACCTCACAGTGTTGTTGTTAGGATAAAATGGGGGGACCAAGAACCTTTTAGGTACTTGGAGAAAAAGGGAGGATATAATTGCAATAAGAACAACAATGCATCTGCTCTGCTTACATGACAGGTTTCCCGAATACAAAATTGCTGACTATTCCTAATGATAGGGATATGTGTATTCTGAGACCAAAAATAGAAAATAAAAATTGGCACCCAGCCGATTCAAATTCTGCACCAACAAAAACTGAATGATGCATATGCCATTTTGCATAATTTATTCTAGTTTTACCAGTCTGGGGGCAGAGGGACACACTAAAAGCACCCACCAGAAATATTACTCAGTCACATCTCTGTCTACAGACATTTCAGTAAATATTCGAAGAAGGTAGAGATTCTCAGGATAAATTCTGTCCACCACTGCAGGCAACAACTGTGGGTAGCCTATGGGTACTTCCAGGTAGGAGCTCAATATTGTAAATGGATTGTTCTCAACAAGTTTTTTTTTTTTAAACTTACCGGATTTTTTAAAAATAATAATAATACTGGTGATTAAATGGTGCTTGTGTGTAGAAAATGGGCTGGCATTTTTATGACAACATCATGTAGAGGCTGCAAAAAATAACGCCCATCCACAATAACGCCCATCTTGAAACACTTTTTACATGAAAAATCAGCTTCACCACTGTATGCAAGCTTCAGGCAGTTATGCAAACTCAGCTTTACCCTATGCCTCTTTGCTATCTCATTTCTTTTGCCCTTTCTTTTCCACTTAAGCAAACATAGCAGAAATTTATTATGCCTACTTAGAATAATTAATTGCTGCTTCTGAATAACTGAGCTACAAACAGGTTTTGATTAGATTTAGTGTTAGGGTGTGCTTGTTCAAAAAGGTAGAGATGCCACTTTCAGTAAACAAAAAACTGATTATTCCTAAAGCATAAAGAACAGCAGTAAGTAGCATGAGGCACTGACACAGTTTCAGTGTTTCAGTGCTGTCTGGGGTCAGCAGCATAAGTTATCCTGTTCAAGCAGGTACTTAGGCTCTGCTTTTAAATATTTATTTATTTATTTATTTATTTATTTATTTATTTATTATTATTCCGCCCTATACCCGCAGGTCTCAGGGTGGTTCACAGAATAACATCAGAATATAAAACGACAAAATATATAATCAAAATAAAAACAACAACAACAACCCAATAACCCCCCCAACACATTTTAAGCCATTTTCCTTATTGGATGCCAGTACTATGACTTAATCACACAGTTCTGAATTAGAAATGTACACCATTTGCTTTTTAAGCAGAGCTGAATATCTGTTTCAAGCACATATTTAAAGCTCTGGACCTAGTAAAACTTCCTGTGCAAGAAAAGGGGTGGGGGAGTTTGTCAGTCCTAGAATCATATTCAGTAGAACAGATAAGGATCAAAAGGACATATTTTTTCACTACTCTGCCCTCCCCACCTACCAATCAGATCACAGGTCACAGCACTGCCAAAAGAAAAACATGAATCTGCGGCACAGATCCTTTGGGATTCTCTTTATTTTAACAAGGGATCCCTTCAAAATCATCATCAAATCATGTCACCTCTGCAACCACAGTGAATTGATGGAGGATTTGTTTTGTAGAGAGAGAGAGGTTTGGAAGAAAGATTCTTTATCTCTCATAGCAGAGTAAACGCAATGGTAATTGCTTCAAGCACACTAAGATTTTACATCTGCTCTCATCCACCTTTAAACAAATGTTCCCCATGAAAATACTTAAGCTAGAATAAATCACAGACACTTGGCTTTGCAAACAGGTGAATATTTTACTCACACAGAGGTTACCGCAAACAAGTCTCAATCCACTGGCAGTAAAGCAAAGAAAAATTGTTTCAAACTACTTAAAAAGAAAAGGACTTGCTTTCCTTACAAAAAAGGATAGTGCAACCTTGGTTAGCAAAGTTGCAGCCTGTAAAAATCTCCCTTTTTGAGAGATTCAGTTCACTTGGTTTTTTCATGCGGTTGGGAGCTACAGTCACATGGCTTCTTGTTTATTCGGGAAAGCAGGAAGAGAAAGAAAAAGAAAATGGGAAGGAGAAAAAAATAGGGAGCCTACTAAGCTCCACCCTCACTGGGACCCTCAAGTTAACCGTTTCATGCACGCAAATGTGGGTCACTAACTGTGTATTACAACAATTTCCCTTCTCTGACAAGTGCATGCATACATGCAAAGAACTTACAAAAATACAGCATGTCAAGAACCCCCTGAGAGTCCCATCTTGACCTGAAGGTTCTTGAAGCTGTCTCTAGGTAGAGGTATGGTCAGTATGTCAGCTGTAAGTTGGGACAATAACTGATTCCATAGCTCTGTTCTGGACAAGTTCACAAATGTATCTCACCCCAATGTGTCTGTATAAAAATCATAAAGGTCCATGTCTTGAATCCACTTTTCTGTGCCATGATGATGTTCCAAGTGATCTGTGATTTTTACTGTGTAGTGTATAGACATCAAAAGAAGCTTTTATTTGATCACACACACACACACACACACACACGGAAATCCTATGAGAAAAAGCCATGTAAATTCATGATTATCTGCTTTTATTTATGAGATCCAACTTTTACCTTCATTTTGCATGCCTAAGGGATTTTTATCAAAATTCTCTTTGAGTATGAATTTAAAAACCCTTAAAAATAAATAAATCTGCAGGCATCTATAAGAAAACATTCTACAAGAATAAATTATAGTGGCACACCAGGTGATATACAAAGAATAAGATGAAAACATACTGTATTAAATAGCTTGTAGTTGCTGATCTGGAAATTTCATTCAGGTAATGATCATTCAGGTATGAAGAAAGAGAGACTAACTATTTTGAAGCAGTGTTAAATTTCATTATGAAAAGATGCAACTTACAAAACATTGTGGATAGGGTCCAAAGAACTCAACAGCATGATGGCCACAGCAGGCGTTTGCTTGCAAATAAATGTTTCCAGAACAATTATTAACTCAATTAAAGGCAATTGAGTTAAGGCAGAAATGCATCAAGAATAATCTGCTCAAATATTTTCTCTCTCTAATTACTGCTGCTTCTTAAACTTATCTTTCAAGGAAAGGGGCAAAGACATAAGGAAATATTACACATATGGCCTAGAGGCCTCATCAGTGCTGTTTGGCAATTCTGCTGAAGTTGTCCACAGTGCATGTCACTCTAAACCTACCGGAAATCCCTGAAGTCAATCTTTGCATGTTTCTCTGGCCCTTGTCTGCTTTCTTTTGCTATGTAAACTCCCTGAAATGACCTCTTGCAGAAGTTATCTTAGGAAAGCACTACAGCCCAATGGCCTATCCAGGCGTTTGCAGAACTGTAAACTTAAAGAACAGTGGGGCTCTCTCTGGATAGAGCAGCTGGGACTCTGAAAGAGCAGGCAAGGGAGTTTCTTTTGTTTTGGCTGCTTCTTGAACTGCTGAGCTGAGAGCCCAGCAAAAAGAGTGTTGACCAATGTACTAAGAGGTCTTGATTTCCAGGGAGAGAGATATTTTGGCAGGCAGCATTTTCTCACATCCCTAGAGAGCTAATTAATTTTATTTGCAGAAATGTCCATACCACCAACATTAAGAACAAATATAGTGGCCAGCAGCAGAAGATCAACAATAAAGTTGCATTAATGAAATCACAGAGGAAACCTCTCTGTTGTAGAGCAGGACCAGAGGGCTTGCATCTGATGGTGGGTCTCAAAAATAGATTAGGAAGCTGTTGGCATGCTGCCCACCCTGCGGCACAGCATCCTCTCTGACTGAGGTAGTTTCAAGCTTGGTGTTGGAGGAACCCTACATGATTATGCTGTGTGACTCCAACATCCATGCCAAGGCTGTTCTTGAACTAGCTCAGGATTTCATGGCCTCCATGGTCACTCACCACAGGACTGTCTCAGGTTGTTACCAGCCTGACACACAGAGCAGGAGATATATTTGGTTTTTGCTCCCAGTGGAGTGAGTAGTCTGTAACCAAAAGGCTGGCTAGCTGCAGCATCCCACTGTCATGGTCACACCAGTTTCTGGTTAAGTCTGGGCTTATGGCAGCTATGCCCCTTGGCACAGGTGGGTGACTCACTAAGATAGTCCATCCCCAGAGACTGGTGGATCCTGATGGAGACTTTCCAGAAGAGAAAAGGCAAGGCTGTTGTCTTGTTGGGGAATGATGAGGGCTGTTGACATTATCGCTCTTTAGTTCCCCCTCCGGTGCTGCAGAGCCCATAAAGCTCCCTGGTATTTTAGTGAGCTGTGGGTAATGAAGAATCTTGGAGTAC